TGGGGCACTGGGTCCAGTTCTGGGCTCCCCAGTTCAAGAAAGATGAGGAACTCCTGGAGAGAGTCCAGAGGAGGGCAACGAGGATGATAAAGGGACTGGAGCATCTCCCCTAGGAGGAAAGGCTGAGGGAGCTGGGCTTGTTCAGCCTGGAGAAGAGAAGGCTGAGGGGGGTTCTCATCAACACCTACAAATATCTCAAGGGTGGGGGTCACGAGGACAGAGCCAGACTCTTCTCAGTGGCGCCCAGCGCCAGGACAAGGGGCCATGGGCACAAACTGAAGCAGAAGAGGTTCCAGCTGAACGGGAGGAAGAACTTCTTTACTCTGAGGGTGCCTGAGCCCTGGCCCAGGGGGGCTGTGGAGTCTCCTTCTCTGGAGATCTTCAACCCCCGCCTGGACGCTGTCCTGTGCCCCCTGCTCTGGGTGAGCCTGCTTGGGCAGGGGGGTGGCACTGAGTGATCTCCCGAGGTCCCTTCCAACCCTTGCGATTCTGTGAGGCCGAGAGCATTTCCCTGCCGTGGGGACAGTGCTGGCAGAGTGGGTCACGGCCCCTGCACGGGGGACAGGACCTGAGCGGCAGCCCCGGGGCCACCAGGCAGGTCAGTGCTACAGGACACGGGCCCTCCCCAGAGCTGCCATCTCATCACCTTCGCTGCTTAAAAAGTGTTTCCTGAAACCCAGCGCTTAATAAAGGCGTGAATGTCTTGTTTAAAAAAAGGCATAAAGAGTAAATAACTGTAACACTGAAGTAAAATATGTCTGTAATGAGGGAGAAACAGATGACATGCAGAAAGAGGAAACACCACATCTGCATCCTGATGCTGGGTTTATGTCACTTGGGGTTTGCCAGTGACAGCAGCTGTGCATAAAGGATCAGGTCAGAAGTTCACCATAGGCACTGCACAGGGTCTTGAGATCGGTTAGAGTGCTTCCTTAGTCCTAACATAACTATAATTCAACTATAAAATATATACACTCAGGAAATGCCAACAGTTCATAAAATCCAGTAACATTTTTTTTCAGGTTAAAAATATATAAGCACCCCACAAAGAGCTGTAATTGCTTCCATTATTTGCATGCATAGCTCTCCACGACCGTTACTTAAAATGCAGAAGGACATCTCCTGTTCGCAAGCACAGCATCGCCTCGTCACCCGAGCAGGCCAAGGCGAGGACCGCAGCCACCGTCCCTGGGGACGCTCGAGGTGAGGCTGCAGGCAGAGGACGGGCTGGAGCAGCGTCCCCCGCAGCGGGGCCCTCCCCGGCACTCTGCTCTCTCTTCACTTGCAAAACTTCAGGGACGCGAGCAGATTTGTTGAAGTCTGAGGCTAGAGCAGCGGTGGTTTTGCATTCACACTGCCTGTCATCCAGAACTCCAATAAAAATGCCAAATACTCCTTGTCTGGCTTTACAGATGAGGAAATGAAGACAAAATTAAATGACTTATTTGAAATCCCTAGCAAGTCAGTGGCCAGGAGTCAAACGCAGCTCAGAGTCCCCACTCTCATCCTCCGCTCTCATCGAGAGACAGCGGTGCTCTAGTTCTGCCGCTCACAGCCTTTGTGCCTGCGGTACAAATACACGGCACAGAATTTTGCTTCCAGGTACAGCTCATGGCTGCTGATACTGATCTATAAATCCTGGTTCTTTATGGCTCAAATCCTAGCGAGGTATCTCCTTCCCTGGGGACCACCGTGCTGGAAGCGAGCAGGTGAATCAGTGCTGCTTAATTTGTATAGCTGGAGGCAGGGTAGTCTCGGCAGAGGGATTTCCACATTTTCTTTCTCCGCAGGACTCAGCCGTGCCAGCCTCCGCAGCAGGGCTCAGTCACTG